AGAGGTCATCCTGAATAAAGCCAGACCTCAGTGAGGAAATGGTTGAGGTGCAGAAAGTATCTTTCCTAGAGAGGAGCTAATGTCTTGAGGAGGAGGTAGATGGTCATAAGCAGGGAAGAAATAAAGTTATAGAGGAAACTCGGAGTTGCAATTTTTCAGAGAAAGAGTTGAAGGAAGGGGTCGTGGTCGTGAAGCTGTTACATCATGGCCATGAGCATGTTAGGATTCCTGTAATGATGGATTCCTGTAATGATGGATTCCTGTAATGATGGATTCCTGTAATGATGGATTCCTGTAATGATGGATTCCTGTAATGATGGATTCCTGTAATGATGGATTCCTGTAATGATGGATTCCTGTATTGATGGATTCCTGTATTGATGGATTCCCTAAAACCCATCTTCCCCAGCAATGAGTTATCTCTGGTCCTTACAATGATAGAAAAACTGAGGATCGTGAGCCCGCTCTACCATGCTTAAAGAGTGCAATGTTGAAGGAGGGAGAGAAAATAATTTTTGGCTATTAGAAAAATGTGGATGAAGTTTATTAACCTGTCACTAAAAAAAAAAAATCTCTGAAGTTGACAATGTTTTAAAACTGTATGGCCACACCGATATCTCAAGGTGATCGAATGCAGAAAGTGAAGGGAATTGGAAAAAAAAATTAGAAACTGGTCCCCTCGATTGGATATGACACCTGTAGGAGGTCCATGATTTACAAAAAAAATGCTTTCCATCAGAGTGAACCATAAGGGGAAAGAGGGGTGGGGTGACTATGCGACATCTATGAAGCCCCTTCACCCTAGCTCAATTTTCAGGAAGAGTAGGACTCCCCCTTAAGGGAAATAGTTGTTCCCTTTAACCAAGTTCCTTAATTCCAAGTTGAGAAACTGAAAATGAGTGAATTTAAGAAAAACTTTACATTAAAAAAATGTAAAATTTGTTCCATCATGTTCAATGTGCAGTTCTATCCCCCAGCCTGTTCACCCTCATTACTGACAGTCTTAGATCCTGCTTTCCAAACAGCATCAGACTAAAGTATGCTGATGATACTGTCATTGTTGCTGGCATTAGTAATGATGAGAACTTCAGCTATTGCCAGTGCATCCAAGCTGTGTGCAGTTTCTCAGAATCCCATGACCTGGATCCAGAGAAATCAAAAGAATTGCTTTTCCACCAGAGGGATAAAATAAAAAACCAGTATCACCTCTCTTATGAAAGAGGAAATTTCAATAAATGGTCTCGTAATCAATCCCTTGGAAAATGCATAGTACCTTGGGATAACCTCGGAATAGGAGTACCTTTGAGAAAAGCCTGTGCTTCAGTTTACTTGTTGATCTCTTGGTTAAAAGGGGCTTCTCACCAGCATTCTATGGGACCTGGCTGTTGAAAGCTGTGGAAGGAAAAATGATACAGTTGCTCTGTTTATTGTTGCTTGTATCTTATCTGCTGTTTTCTATTGCTTACCTGTGTATGGAAACCATCTTGTACAGGCATGTGTCTTAAAAATCCAAAGCTACTGAGAAAACTTTCAAAAATCCAAGGCATATGCCCCAACACCCTGTCACCTCATGCTTGAGCACTGTAACTGCATAGGTGCCATAATGCACAACAATATTAAAGTAAACACCCTACACTACTTGCATGCACTGCTAATGACATCTTACAGATTGGTTGAACCAAACACCAGGAAAAACACAGTGTACCTGCCAGCCACCAAACGTGAAGAAAAACTCATGTTTTGTCTGGTAAAAAAACCAACAGGGTTCTAAACATCCTTTTATGCAGTTGCTGTGATTGAAACAGTGATGGTCGTCTGTAATGCACCTCTAAAATTTGAGAAACCTTGAACTTTGAACTCACATGACTAATTTGTCCTATCCTGGTGCTTTATATTATTTTTTTATCTTTTTGTCTTCTTTTATCTCTCATATTTAACCCATTGAGTGGTGAGTTTTTTTCTGACTGGCCATGCCCCCAGGGGTGAATTTTTTTGTAATGGGCTCCAGCTCCAAATATTTTACTTTTATGAACATAAAAGTTTTTACCTCAAACTGACGGCATCTGTACAAATGTGGCAATTTGAATTTGTAGATGCAGGACGTACTGGTACGGCCATACTGCTCAATGGGTTAATACTCCCCCCCCCCCCTCTTAAATGACGACCTGAATGCAAAGGAAATCAACTTGAATCTTGAATCCATCAGTTTCGTGAAACATTGAAGGAGATTGAGTGACTTGGTTTTTGCATCTTTGGGGGTAATGTTTTGTACAGGGTGTCTCAAAAAAAGTTGATGCTGTTATAATGGCTTTTTCTGGTATGTTGAACTTGATTTTTAACACGTTGGCGACAATGCGTCCTGATGCCAGGATGCAGATTTCATTTTCAATGAATACCCTCTGGAACTGAATCGGCATTTTCACAAGAAGGAATAGCTGTTTATACGGATTATTTAACAGATAATTATTATTTAATTCACCCTTCAATGGCTGGTGCTGGTCGTCAACGTGTTAAAATGTTGTTTTTGTTAGAAAGAGAAGAAATTAAGCTTTCATCTGCTGATAACTACATGAAAATAAACTTTCTGAAGTGACATAGGGAACAGTGAAAATTAGATTATAAAAATGCCTGCACTATTATTATAGGACATGTTCAAGGCCTGCTCCTCCTCAATGCCAGCATAGCATCAGATGCTTAGCGAGGTTTTCTACTGCTGACTGACTTGTTCCTGCCCTGTTTTTTGAGATTGAGAGGGTCACCAAAAAGATTCTTCCATTCAATGAATCCTGTGGCATTTTTGTTGACATATGTCCAAGAACCAGCAATAAAGCAAGGAGTCTCCTGGCATTACACTTGTGACTCATTAGCTTCTTTGAGTCCTTCCCTTGCCAGATTCTCTTCTTTAGGTTGTTTGCAGTGGTTCATCAGCATATCTGAATTTTCCTAAGGTAATCCTTATCTTTCCATATCTCACTTCTGAGTTCATTGATCTTTATACAATCTTCAGTATTGGAAAGTGTAGTCTCTTCCCATGTTAACTGGTACAGCAATTTTCATTCAATTGTAATATAACAAATTAAAAATCAATTCTTGCAGTGTTACCTTTTTTTTGAGACACCCTACATGTGACTCAGATGTTTGGTTGCAGGTCTGAACAGGGAGGAGGCTGATCTCAATGAGGATGCAGGATCTTCAGTGTACCAACCAAGTGTCAACCTTGTCTTTGAAATCTATGAAGAGTATTTTGTAGTACCTCTATTGGAGCAAACCTATTGGTTTTACTTTGAAAAACGCTGTGAATTTGGAGCACTGGAGCACCGCAATCAAATTCCAGAGTACTTGAAAAACGTGAGTCTCTGCACAGCATTGACTGGTTGGGTGGGTAGTTTACCCTGTGTACATGTTTAAGTGAAACTTTGACTTTCTGTCCCGCATATGACAGTACTGCATGTGGATCCATGAAAATTTTAACACTAGTAGTGTTGGCTATAATTTAAAAATTCCTCTGTAGTACCTCTGTATCTGAGGTAACTTCACATGCCTAATCCAAAATTGCATCCACCTGTGTTGATATAAAAATGGACAGTGCTTTGTTGGGGTATTTATTGTATAGGATTATGTGAAACCTGCTTAAACTCAGAGTAGACTTTTAGATAAGTATAATGACACTACCCTATCATGGTGAGGCATAAATGGGTGCTATCCACAATTTCATGAGGGGAAACAGTGCACCAATAGGTGCTGAGCATCCTGGGACATAACCTTATGCAGTGACCTGACTGAACATCATGCATGTTGAATGAGTGGGTTTTGGTGGTTTGTCACAGAGTGATGTGAAAAGTTGTGAAGCAGTTTTCGCTAAACAAAGGGAGTCGAGAAACAAATTCCCTTGAGTACTTTAAATTCCAGAAGGCATCATTCCAAAGGCTCCTAAGAGACATGCTTCAGGCACTGGAGATAAAACTTTTGCATGGAGCCAAGTAATTGATTTGGGTAATTGAATTGAAGGGGAATGACTTCCTTAACTTATTCAACTTTCCCAAGCCATGCATGATTACAAGTACTGATCCTTCAAGAAGCATACGGTGCTTTGGCAGAAATGTGGTGCCAGTTTATGTTGTAAAGTAGGTTCAAGGTCTGTCCAAATATTTATGTTACAGTTATCTGAATACTCATTAAGTGATGATGCAAGTGCATCAAATTGTAATTTGTCGTATCACAATAGAAAAGTTTGGAATGTCATTCTAATTTTTGGGCAAAATTTGAGGAAAAGCAACAGGGAGGGCATATATCTCACTCTATAAGCCATATCTTTCTTTTAGTGGGGCTATCTTCTCCAAAAAGACCTGAGGATGGCTACCCAGAGGGTGGGGGGAAAAAAAACTAACAGAATTCTGTGTTGATAGAGTAAGAAGCATATGCAATTTTGTCCCTCCAGTAGCTCTCAGGGAGAAGGTGTAATTTCGTTTAAGGGAAGGATTGACGATGGGGAATTGGTAATATTGCACATTTTGTTCCTGATTGTTCTGCTGCAATTGCACCAGAGCAGGTATACAGAGAGACTGATGAAGTTAGAAACTGTTTAAGGGTTCTGTATACTGCACATAAAAGTGTAAAAGAAATTGGGTGAAGGTTCCTCATTTGATGATTTGTAGATCTAATGATTCCTCATTAGATCTACAATCAGCTAATTAGATGCTGTCATTGCTGAGTGATGTCACGAACAATCCAACCCTCAAAATTGAGAACCTCTACCTCTATTAAATCTTTCAGGAGTTTTATTAAGAATTTTCTCTACACAAAAAGCATAGACTGTACTGAATTAATGGGTGTCCCACAGGAGGAAGCTATTTTATAGGTTTTATTGAGATAAGATAAATATAAATGTGCTTTGTGCTAGAAGTTCTAAAACCGGTTGAATTTAATTCAGGAAAGACCTGCTTTTCTGCTTCATGCAGAAAATTGTTCCCCATTTTTTTTTTCTTTTTTTTTTTTTAGCACAAGTTGCATATTCTGAATGGTTCCACCAGAGGTGGCAAAAGTTCTTCTGCTTCCAGGTAACCATAGTTTACCTTCTCAGTGTAGCAGTTTTTGTGAAGTAATCCTGAGTATGGGGGGCTGAGCAAAGGCAAAATGGGTTGGTTGTTTGATGAAAGATCAATTTAAGCCACCACTAGACATGAAAATGCCTATGTGTAGGCATCTAATGGGGAATGCATACTGAGACAAAGCCCTTCAGAAGCTCTTGGCATTTACGAGGGGTGTTCGAAAAGTAATAGGAATTTTGAATTTTTTCCCAATCAACATATTTATTCATCATTATTTACACTTAACTTTTCAATATAATCACCCTGGAGTGCAATACGCTTTTTCCAACGAGAGACTAACTTCCTAAGGCCATCATTAAAGAATTCCTTTGGTGTGCTTTTAGTCCAACGTTCTACCGCATCCTTGACCTCTTGTAGAGAAGAAAAACGCTTGCCCCGAAGTGGTTTCTTCAGTTCCGGGAATAGGTGGTAATCACTTGGAGCGAAATCAGGAGAGTAGGGTGGGTGAGGCAGCAACTCCCATCGCAGATCGGCTATAGCATCAATAGTTCGTCTTGCAGTATGGGGCCTGGCATNCATCACAAGCTCTTCCATGGCTGCCACATTTTCTTCATTAACTGAAGTGGAGGGCCTTCCAGTCCGATGGTCATCATCAAGGCTTTGCCAACCACTCTTGAAGCGGTTAATCCAAAAATAAACTGTGCTTTTTGAGTCAGCAGCATCTCTGAAAACACACTGCAAGCGCTTGACAATATCAACAGTTTTGACTCCTTCCTTCCACAAAAAGAACTTTATTGACCTTTGATTTTTCACCGCGTCTTCCATAATAGAAAAATAGCAAGGGACAGCACGGCCTATAACTCGAGAAGGGACTGAGTGTATTGAATGGCATTGACAGGTCCTAATGCTTACATGTTGGCGTACGTATGGGCTGACTCTTGTTACCTTAGGTCTAATCGTTCTTGTTTAATAAATAAATTCCTATTACTTTTCGAACACCCCTCGTATTACAATTGAAGAAATATCATTTGATAGGATCTTTAAAGGTTTTCTTCATAGGAGCACTTCAATATTTTAATTTCTGGACTGGAATATTGATATTATTGAATTTATGCTTCAAGTCTCAGTGTATTCAATTGGTCAACAGCCTCTGAAATAAAAGACTTCAATTTGTATGCTTGCTGCATTCTTTGCAAGAAGTGCCAGCTATTTCTCCCTCTAAACATATTATGCAAGGTATGGCAAAAAAAAAAGAAGACCAATGACTTTTGATCGAAATATCTGCTCATATTGGAACCATTTTTGCAAAACTTTTATTATGCATGAAAATATTTCTAACTTATTTTCAAGATTTCATCCAAATTTGTTGGGCCAAAGCGATTTCAGCAATTATTGAAAAGAAGTTGGGCATTGAGAATGGACATGAGCTCCTGCTGGTATTGGAGTGGAGGAAACACTTGAGTGCTGTCCCTCCTGGTCCTCAAGACCAGGAGGGTACTAAGGGGGAGGGTACCAAGTACTTTGCAGACTTTCAAGCTCCTCGTCCATTTAAATTCATTCTTTGGGCTGGTTGTCTGTTGCAGAGACAACCAGAGAGATGGTTTTCATTCATTCTGGATAAATGACTACCAATATCCAGAGACTTTCACATGTTTCATTCAAAATTTCCCTTTGTCTATGTCAACCTGAGTCAGCAAGGTATGGCAAAAAGGACCTATGACTTTGATTGTATCTTATGATTGCTGAAGTCAAATCTAAAAAATGTGCTGTGGATGAAGTATGCCCTTATTTATTTGAAAGTCAACAATGCTGCAGAAGTCTATTACTATAAATTATATTCCATGACAAATCTGTTATTTGAAGTGGATAATTCCTTCAGAAAACCAGGGGAAATTTTGAATAAAGTTGAGAAAACTCACTGGATTAATACTCATAATTGATTTATCTGCTATTCATTGGGAATAAGCTAATGAAAACCATCTGCCAGAGACAACCAGTCCAAAGAATAAATTTAAGTGCCAGAAGAGATTGATGTGGTCTTGATGACCAGGAGGACTTGAGTGCGTCCTCCATTCCACTACCAGAAGGAGCTCTTGTCCATTCTCAGTGTCTAACTTTTCAATATTTGCTGATAATGACCCATATGCCAGAACCTATAATTTGGTAGCTATTACATGGTCACTATCATGATCGGTATCATGCGATAGATTTAGTATTTCCTATGTTCTGTCTGCTAGGACAATTAATAGATACCCATCATGGAGCCTATTTTGATAGGCATTTGTGAATCTTCCAGATGACAATCTCCTACTCATCGGTTTTCATGCCAAGCAACAATGTCATAGCTATCTGCTGGCATTTTGACTGACTAGAGTGTTGTGTGATGATTTAATGGTTTTAATCTGACCCCATTTACCAGACTAGTGCTTGAATTCTGATTGCCATGGTTTCATACATTGAACTCTAAGGGTAGGTTGATGAGTGGGAGGGTTAACTCCTGGTCAGAATAGCACAGGGTTAAACTTGGGACTAGGCAGTTTGCAGATTAATGAATGGCAGGCTAAAGTTAAATTAGGCTTAACTAGGAACGAATTGGGGGCTATGTTAACTCCACTCATTAGGTCATGCTAAGTTGTGCTAAGTTCCCTCTGCTATGAGAAGCCTGGAGGATGACATGCCATGCTATAATCATGCTAGGCTGATTACTGTTGTGGCTTCTTTTGTGGAACTCTGAACTGAGATTCCAGAAGGAGATTGACAAGTGCCAAGTCCCTAACATCAGGTATTGTTCCAATCCTTTTACACTGTATAACAATGAGGATTTTACACAGCAGTTTCACTTGTCCAAGCAGACAATGCTGCATTTACATTGTTTTACCCTTGAGTTGGACACTTGGCTTTGACACTCATGCATGAGAAATGTCCAATGCACATGTATCTGAGTTGAGTGAAAAATTGCTAACTCAAGTGATAAACACTACTACAGCATATGCAACTCGAGGAACCCAGGAAGCAACAATGGGACTGCCAGGCACCTATGGATGAATGAATCCACCAACATGAGAAGCAGCTGTTTATCCTGCAAATGTGCAATTCTCACAATGTTTTGACTGAATTGAAATGTTAAATGGGCCAGCAGTGTCCATTACTAACACTTATAAAAATTCAATGGCATGAAAGCATCCAGTCTAAATGAACCACAACCAAGGAGAGGCCTGACATGCAAAACTGGAAAACGTATGCACAGTGGGACAGTGGATGAGGATCCCTAGAGCAAAGGGTTGTGAGGTTGCTGGAGAGAAGTGGGAAGATGGGGTTTGCTAACTCTGACATACTCTATGATTCATCAACTGACATGAGTGGATCAGTTTAGCCTGCAGCTACCTAACCCCGCAAAGAAGTTAATCCAGGACTAACTTAGCCCTCCATTCCTCAACCAACCCAGAATAGCTGCTCTCAGTGCAAGTTGTGATGGTTCACATAACTCATTGGGTTAGCAAAATGCACTGAATTAATCCTGGTAGCGTGTTATTAGCAGAATAAAGGAGCTCTGGATCATAAGTTTGAATTGATTTTTATACCTATCTTGATGATTAGGCTCTGACACCATCTCATATTGGAGGCATCACCCACACTGATTGATTGGATTCTATCAAGCTCCAAGCAATTCTCTTCTTGAGGACTTCTTAGGCCCTTGTGCTGCAATTCGTCCCCAAAATCCATCATCCTGAACTCCTTTCAGGATAGGAGTTGAGGAAAGGCTCCATGTTTTGACTCAAGTGAAGGAGTCTGCTTCATGCTACAAGTTTTCAATCCTAACCCAAAGCCTAATCTCATATACAAGTACTTGCATAGGTCGTTTTTCTGGAGGAGGGAGTTGGGGGAGTAAAAAGGTTTATTTTTCATATTGTAATGTGTGTATAGCTATATTTTACATTGTTGGATTTTGCAGCATCTAATCACTGAGTTTCCAAAACCTATCTCTGCATTTGGTCAAAAAGTATAATTGAATTTTCAGAAATCAAGGTATGGGTAGCATTCAAAATCTCATTGAGCTTTTGTTGCTGTGGTGTATTTATGCACCAAAACTCACCACATTGTAGATGAAGAGATGAAGTGGGAAGATGAGACCTGAAAATTGATGTGTTTGTTGCAGGTGAGGCTTTTTCTGGAGAAAGAGAAAGATCTTGGACATCACTACCCTCACCCTTCAACACTGGAGAAGGTTCTGTCCACAGTGAAGAAGGTGCTTATCCATGAACAGCAGAACCTGAGAAATCTCCTTGAGTCTCTCATCTGCACACAGGGACAAGAGGCTATTGAGAAGTGTTGCTTGGCTGCACTCACTGATCCTAAGCTGTATGTCACCACCATCCTGGAAGTCCACAAGAAATGCAGCGAAATGGTGATTGCTGTAAATGATTCTGGGTTAATCACCTCCCTTGACAAGGCTTGTTTCAAGTTCATAAACAATAATTCTGTGACGGGGGCAACAGGGAATTCATCCAAGAGCCCAGAGCTCCTTGCCAGCTGCTGTAACCTTTTTCTCAAAAAGTCTAGCAAGAACCCCAAGGAAGCTGAGTTGGAAGACAAACTCAATGATGTGGTGAGAATATTCTCTTCCAGCTCTAAATAACATATTTAAAATTTCATTTCTTATAACTAGTTTCATAGAAGAGGAATAATGTTTCAGATTGATGTAGATATTGTGCTTGGAGCATAAATGATCTTGCTTCTATTGTGTTGTTTAAGACAGTGGTTCTCAACCTTTTTGATGTTGCAACCTATCAAGACCTCTATCCATACTTATATGACCCACAAATATAGAAAAATCCAGGAATAATGTAGCTGTTTGATGTGAAAAATATTCATTGATAGTAAAGACTTAATGATAGACAAGTATGGACATGACGTTTTGAATATATTGCTCTTGGAATAGGTGATTCCTTCATTATTCCTTTGCTGTTTTACCTCTTTTAGCTTCCTCTGAAATAACTCAGCTTCATCAATGTTGGTTGATTTCAATCTAAATGCCACTTCAAATTTGAAAGCTTCATGGATGCATTGGGAAGCAGTTCACCACAAACTTTGCATTCTGGTTTCATATTTGCTGAGGCTGTGAAACCACACTGAAGGTATGAATCTCATTATGCTTCCAAATTGGTACTAGTTTTTAAATTTTTTTTTTGGCCTAAAGCCTAACTCTGTCTCAATGACATCACCAGTGGTGCTACTATCAACACCTGTGCCTGCCCTCTGTTTCTTCAGGAAATGTTCCATCTGCATTTCATTGTTGAACCTAAATAAGGAACTACTGGAAATCATGAATGAGTTGAACTTCATAAACCTCCCCCTCCAAAAAGAAGGATATGTATATGCTCAGGTAGCAGAGAAACTAAATCAAGAATATAAACTTCGGATTCTGCCCACAAAAAAAGCATCACCCCTAATCACAGCAATGAGGAACCAGAGGGAATGCTGAAACTGATGAGGAATTGACTGGAGATGGAGGGTATGAGCAAGATATATTAAAAATACAATTTATAGCTGTTTGCTCTTTTCAGAATCGCATTCCTAGTAATTTTAGCTCATGTAATACTACTCTGTAGTTTGGTTTAGTGCTTATGATTGATCTCTGTCTTTTCTAACCTCTCACCAATTTTCTCAATTTTATTTTCAATTCATTTCATTCTCTTGCATCCCACCTAAAAGACCATCGTGACCCACTGGTTGAGAATCACTGGTTTAAGGAGTTTGACTATGGATTAAAGTAATGGGAGGGTATTCAGATTTAACTGAATATCAGTCATTCAAATCCATATCATCCACTTAGTTGTGCTCAATAAGAATTGAAATATTTGTCTGCTGATAATAATTATTTGGTTTTGACATGATAGGAAAAAGCAAAATGAGGTATTAAATATTTGTCCTCATCTGTTAGGAATGAACTTCTTGAACATATTTTTGAGTGCTATATTATCTCACTTCCTGCTGAATTTAAAGCAAGTTAGAGTAATGAAGCCCAAGAAACGCAAAAATGGTTGGGGTTGAAATGAAAAATCCTAGTCTGATTCTGTGACCTATTGACTGCCTTGGCAGTGTTCTTGTTTCTTTCTATCCTTTACCCACCCATGAATGCAGAGCACTGAACCAAATGTCATGGAAAAACCATGAATTTGAAATTAGGCTTCATTACCTCTTGATTGCTATTGCATGTCTTTCTGTGGCTTGTTTTTATTCTTCACAAGATCAGCAAATGTAAAGGTGCAAATCACAAACTGGTGCAAATCTGGCAGGACTACTATCTCAGATTCTTTAAATTATAGTGACTCCTTTTCTTTCTTTGTTGATGGAACTGGCTCAATGACTCCATGAATGGTTCAGTGCTGGTAAAGCTGTGGCTTGCTAATCATCTTTCAAAACTGTCTTCTCAAATTTCCCTTCCCCTTCTGGGACCAAACACTTCCATCATCCTTCACAATGTTGCCTGATGAACTCTTCCAGAGTCTTAAGGTCTTTACACCAAAAAATTTTAGTGCTGCCTGGGACAAATGTGAATAATGAAAGCCCATTTCCTTCATCAATATACAGAGTGGTGCAAAAGTCATGCACCATAGGGTAAATTACAGTAAATGTTCTGATCATCTGCCATTTATTTGAAAACACTTCGATTCGCTGCACACATGATGTTTGCAGATATCTGAACTCCACCTTCTCATCTTTTGTTAATTTTGCAGTCATCACTTACCTGCAAAGAATGAAACAAGAATTAATGTAGTGCAACAGTGTAATCCACTATGGTGCACACATTTTGTGCCACCCTTTATAACAGCCAGGTCTGGTTATCCAAGAATTCTATATGCTGATTTGAAATGGGACTGAAATTGCTAGTGCTATTGTATCTTGGCTGAACTTCAGAGTAATTCTTCTTAAGTACATTCTCACTGATCGAATTTGACTCATTGCAATAACTTTTTTTAATCACAATACTAATTTTTAATAAATATTTTCCTTTTCTCTCAAACATGCCCTTGACCTTTCATTATGTTTTATCTTTTCCTTCTGCAGATGGTGGTATTCAAGTACATAGAGGACAAGGACATGTTTCTTAGATTTTATTGGAACATGCTTGCCAAACGAATGGTGCACTGCCTGTCTGCTTCAGATGATGCAGAGGCATCCATGATCACCAAGTTAGAGCAAACTTGTGGCTTTGCATACACCTTGAAGCTCCACTGCATGCTTCAGGTATGCTTATTTTGCAAAATATTTGCATAGGTACCAGAAAAGATATGCTTTTCAGGAAGAAAGGAGTCTTGGGATGTGAATGCAATACTTTTTTGTGGTGATGATCTTGCTGAAGAGTAACCCTATTTGTGGATTTACCCTAAGTCTTTTGAAATTAACCCTTTACTGCATCATAAGAGAAGAGAAAAATGTCAAATTTTGAATAAATTCCGTTAATTCTAAAGTAAGGTACTTTGCATCAAATTGTCAAAGTTTGGTCATTTTAAGGCAATTATGGGTTTTTATCAAATGGAAGCAATTTGCTAAAGAAAAACTGCAGTAGGTATCTGTGAAACCTCAAAGATGTGAGATGAATATATGAGACAGGTAATGCATGATAAAGTTTTTTTTAGACATTATATGTAATGATAAAAAAAAATTGAAAAGCTTGTTATGAAATAAGGCAAAAAGTCTTTACTTTGGCTTTGGTCCTGACATGGTATCTTCAATATGGTTCCAGTTGATAAATGTACTTTTAAGAAGTATTGTTCTTCTACCATAGGAACATTAAGGATGTTACAGAACTTCCCATTTGCTGAATTTGAATATTCAGCATTATTATGTTTGAAAAAATATTCTGGTATATGCCATATGTAGAACATCAAGCAGTAAGGGACTAGCTGAAATGAGGGATGTCTTGAGATTAGCAAGCATATGATCCTATCTTGTGTACTAGGTTTAATTTTAGTTTTTGTACAAGGAATTTCACTAGAATATAAAAACCTCTGAAACTGGAATGCTACTTGGAGATAATGGGTTCATTCACCTCTCAAGGGTGTGTGAAGAAAACCGTTCTTTTGTTGTAATTTTCTGTTATAACCCTTTTGTGGGCAGTGGGAATTCTACTTCCCACTACCCATTCATATTAATGCTTGGAGAATCTGTTTCCCACTGATACTGGTTGATACTGGTGGGAATTTGGTATTGGTCACAATTTTTCCCTTGTCCCACAAAATATCTGATTGGAAAGAAAGTTCTCGGAATTTCTTGAATATCCAGTACAATTTTTTCCAGAGCATGCTAGAATGTTCTGTGTGTGTTTATAAGTAGGTCGTGTCCTTCGGCATACAACCGTATATTATTACAGCCCTGGTGCTCTCCAGCCATGAACCAGCCCTACCCTCTTACTAAGGAGCAAGTTCGCCTGCTTCTTCTTTATGACTTCCGAATCAAGAAGAAGGCAGCCAATTCCATCGCTGACATCAATACCGCGTTTGGCCCGGACACTGTGTCCAAGAGCACTGCCTATGATTGGTACAGTCGCTTCCAGAAAGGAAATGAAAGCCTGGAAGACCAGCCACGCACCGGTCGTCCTTCGGAGTTTGATAACTCTGCCTTGCAGGAGGCACTGGAGGCCAACAACCGGCAAACATCGCGAGAGCTTGCGGACTTGCTGGGTGTCTCCCATACAACTATCCTTCATCATCTGGCTGAGCTTGGCAAGAAGGCAAAGTTGGGGTGCTGGGTACCCCACAAGCTGGATGATCGGGACCGCCAGCGACGAGTAGACATGGCCATCTCCCTTCTGTCACGTTCGCGCCGAACGGATTGGCTAGACTCAGTGGTGACAGGCGACGAAAAGTGGACCTTCTATGCCAACATTCGACGAAAACGTCAGTGGGTGGACGCCGGAGCATCGGCCGAAAGAGAACCCCGTCAGGAGTTGCACCCCAAAAAGATTATGCTCTCGGTCTTCTGGGATTCGAAAGGCATCATCATGTTTGAGCTGTTGCCGCAAAACACCACCATCACTGCTGCCTACTACTGCCAGCAACTCGATCGGCTGCAGCAGAAACTGGCTGAAACACGCCCAGAAAGACAGAGAACCATCCTCCTCCACGACGATGCCCGGCCGCACACCGCTAGACAGACTCATCTAAAGTTACTGGACCTGTGCTGGGAGGTGCTGCCGCATCCGCCCTACAGCCCCGACCTTGCCCCGTCCGATTATCACCTTTTCGTTGCCCTGGACCGTCACATGGGTGGAAAGCAGTACGCCAACCAAGACGACCTGAAAACCGATTTGGCCAACTTTTTCGTAGCGCAGCCGCCAGAGTTCTATTGGAATGGCATCCATAGTTTGCATAAACGTTGGCGTGAAGTGATAGAGGCCAATGGTGATTACATTCATGATTGAGATGATTTTGCTTTTAAATAAACTGGGTTGTAATAATTGTTCATGAAATTCCGAGAACTTTCTTTCCAATCAGATATATCAATAGAATTTTTCTGTGTAATTTTTTATGAAAAAGAAATGCGGGAAGATATGGCAAGCTTCCCAGGTAAAAATTACCCATGAAGGGTTAATATAGGCCTAGAGTCACAGCATTTGATGCAGGAAAGACCCATGCCTAAATGAAGGTCATGTGTTCATTGGACTCAGGGTGTACTGAAAGGGGTCAAAGCATAGGGGAAGAAAGGATGGGCGATGATGAAGATGTGCAGAATATGACCCAAGACCTCTAGCCAAATGATAAAGATAGAAATGGGTGAAAAGGGAGAGCTAACATGTATCCTTGGCTTTCCTTTAGACCTCTCAGACTTCGCAGTTTATGAAAAAATTATATTAATAGTTACCTTGACAAATGATGATGTGAAATGGGGATTCAGTTAGCAAAACGTACAGAAGAATAAGTTGCAAAGTCACGTCTTGGAAGAACAAATGTATATTCTGATCACAATTAACTTGAATGGGCCATCACTGACTGGGTTCAAATTTGAAGATACAGTGGACGCTGCTCATTGTGATCACTGGTTATTATCAGCTGGATAATGTGATCACATTTGGAAAACCAAAAACAAATCAAATATTTCATGTTGAGAGAGGTGGAAGGTAAGTTACCTGAAAAACACATAATTGCATTTTGCAGGATGGTAGAAAATATACTAGCAAAAATTTTCATTTCCACCCTCTTCAAACAGTGAACAAGAGATTCCAATTACTCCCACAACTTAAATCTGAACTGGATTCTCAGAAAACCTCTTTTAAAAGCCTTTTTTAAATGTTACTTTTACCTCATGGAATGGGGTAAAAGTAACAAAGGATGAGGCAATAGTAACATTCCTGTACAAGTACCGTCTGATAGCACTAAGGAGCAAAAGGGGCAACTGTAAATGCATTCCACATTTTGTGGATGAATTGAGGAAATTTTCTGCTAATATGGGATGAAAATAAAGCAGCAGGAGATGATAATACTGAAACAGCTACAGCTGAATTTTAAGCCTGCAGGAATTCTCTTTCGATGGGAATTTAATAAAAAGGTAGTAAAAGTCCCCCTCCTCCACCCCACTTACTCTTTACTATTTCTTATTTTCTTTCTCCTCAATTTTCTTCTTCAAAACCAGTTCAGAGATCTGCAATCCTATTTGCTTATAATGGGCACCAATAAAATTCATGGCTTTCGCACCTATCAACAGAGGGAAACCTTAAACTCACAGATCATAACCTAGAGAATTTTATTGGACTTATGAACGATGCTTTGACGGGTGCATCTGGATGGTGCTCTCAGGAAAGGCATAATAATCTGATGTCATATTTCAGTTAATTTCATGAATCTTGATGGCATTCACAGCACTTATAAGACCTCCAAGGGAGTAGTGTTTCCCCACACCCCTCAGTTTTCCTTTTGTAAGTGCAAACCTTTATGAAGCCTGGAAGAAGCCTATGCACAATACCCAGTCATTCATACATTTTTTAAATACAAATATACACATGTAACAAGTTAGCAGCACTTAAAATATTGTATGTGTGATGCTACTTTTGCCTCATGATAGGTTGTTACAATTGTCCCACGACCCTACATTCCATTGGGCAAAAGTAACATTGAACATAACAAATGATGTGGGAAGGCCTGAGTCTGAATTTCGAGGTCATGAAGTAGGTATGAAGATCAGGCAGCAAATTAACATTTTTTCTACTTTGTTGGGATGAGAAATGAAATTGCAACAGAAGAGAAAAAAAATTGCATTTGATTTGCTTGATTTTCTTACCAAAGTGTGCAAAATTGAAGTAACACATTCTTAGCCAATCACCGAGAAGCTCAAAATACATTATATCAAAGGATGAAGAGTGGCATGTTATGGACACAAAACAAGAATTTTGTATCTAATGCACTTGCTAAAAGACCAAGTATTGTTCCAGTTACATCATTGTTACTTTTACCCCACCTCACTCTATATTTTTCTCTGGTTTATGTTAACACCTTTCCCTGGATATTGTTATCAAGGCATATGCCAACCACATTTCTATCACTATAGAATTTCTGAAACATATAGCATCCAGGGAAGGAAAAGGTGTGAGGTATTCCTCCCCAAGATTGATGAGGACTTTTCCCTCCTGACTATGAAGAGAAAGTTGTAAATGAACTTCAACATTTCCATTCACCTAGCAACATGTGCACAACGTTAATTCATTTGGGTGCCTTAGTCAGACAGTAGGTCATGTTCACAGTGCAGCAGTTTTTGACCTGTAGTGTATGCCATGGCTCCAAACTAAATTGACTTGAGTATTCCTGAGAATGTGAATTTTCTGAAGCTTCATAATGAGTTGCCAAAGGTTAGTCAAAGAGAAGCTGCTGCTAAGCTTGACATCTCTCAGCCATGTACATGCAGCCTTGATGACAGACTTCTCTGACAGATGCCTCTGACAGACTTCTGAACAGCATTGCGGTACAACAGAGAATCAAATCTTTCATCACCACATGGGCTTGGTTTAATGATTCCTTTCACATACATACAAACATCCATTGAGAGCCAACTTCTTGACACTCACTGAAGTCAAACTAAAAATTGCCCATGGCTGTGAACACTATACAAAACCCTGAGCTCCACTACTGCCTATGAAAAGTGTACTCCTCTGAAGGTCATGTACCCCATATGTTATCACTTCTTGACCTCCAACAAAAGCCCAGAAGCAGGTACCAGTTAGCAGATCAGCAGATGAGACCCACAACAAATTATGTTTCCTGCAATTCATCAATGACGAATCATTGATGACAAAACAGTCTGCGATGAGTTAATGGGTCTCTCATCCCTTGTATAATTCCTCACACGACTAAGCTCATCAACTAAGCTTGCATGGCCTTCTCTGTTTATTCACTACTGGCAGGGTTTCTACCAACCTGGAAAGCTTATTAAGTCAGGAAAATTTATTAAATAAATCTGAAATCAAAGAAAGTGGATTTTAAGCTATGTAGAGGAGGATAGGGCACTATGGGTCAATTTTTTTTGTGGGCCTACAACTTGAGCCTTTTTATTCCTCTGAAGCAATAGAAGGCCCTGCTTGTAAATACTCAGAGCACCTGCACAATCCAATGTTTCAAATTTAACATGCAATAAAGTTATATTTTAAAATGGGGCACCATGGGTCAGTGTCCAGGGTACAAAGGATCATCCCATAATCATCAATAAAATGAACTTCATTTGACCCAAAGTCATCACAAGAAGAAGTTTTTACACCACAGGAGGAGAGCTCTTGAATACTGATGTACTCCACTAAAGTCTTCTAGAAAATGAAGAACCTTTAATGAGGAAATAATATACAATTCACATCCACAAATATCACATATGCTGGTGTTGAACCCTACAGAGTCTTCTGCTCCTATATGTTCTCTATTAGATCAGAAAAAGACTGCAAAGGAAATCCTGGTCAGTATTGGCAACTATCAGAAAACATTTAGCACACCAAGTTATGACCCATTGGGCCCCAACAGGAGCCATTGAAATGAAACCAGTATTTCAACCAGAGTAAGTTGCTCAGATGCATAGGCATTGAACTACCAATCTCATGAATCATATTCCAGTAAGATTCTAGACTATTCATCAAATGAAATAATTAGCAAAATATCTAGACATCTCTGCCAACAAAAACGAAAAAGTGTTTTCTACAGAAAAACGTCCACACAATTCGCACTCTGGGTGGGGACTATTCTTTTTTTGCAGCTACACTTTCCTGGCACCTCAGCTGGAAGATATGTAGTATATGACATGAAGAGAAACAGAAATGGAAGAGCTATAAACAGCCTAACCCATGGTGCCCCACTCTCCCCTACTGTAGAAAGTTTAACCCAGAAACATGGAAGGTTTTCAAAATGTGCCAAGCCTTTCATTGTTCTAAGGTTTCTATACCAATTACCAATCTGCCAACTGAAAATATTTATGCATGCATATGTTGTGATCTGGAAAAACTGAAGTGGAATATGTAAAAGCAAAAATAAAAAAATTTCTTGCAGTCAGTGGAAACCCTTATGGATCATGGAGAACATTGCTTTTACAGGACATTAGAGTGTCAAGGGACCTGAATAACCAGTTCAGGCAACACATTGACAACTTTGGTGAACGGCTGGAGATCGATTTCAGCATCCAGGTGCTATCTTCTGGGTCATGGCCATTCCAGCAGGGTACCACCTTCACCCTCCCCACTGAGGTACATTCTTTTTATTCATCTTCTTACTCATATTGATTTTTTAGCTGGGGTATCCTTTCAAGATTATGCTTTTAAATTGACAGTTGGAGAGGAGTGTGACAAGGTTCAACAGCTTCTACAGTGGGCAACACAGTGGCCGCAAACTTTTCTGGCTTTATCATATGTCCAAAGGAGAGATCATGGCTTACTGCCTCCGACACCGGTGCGTGACCCCGATCAGTTTGTCTATTATGATATCAGTGTACTTGGTTGCAAAAGTTCCCATATATGCATTTATCCATGAATGCCTGAATACATGTACACCTAAGTTAGGGGTCTCAATTTGCTATGAATTCTTTAACCAGTTATCAATGGACTCAAACCAGCCAACTGAAATTCTAAGAGTATAATCCAACAAGAGGAGACATTTTTCAAGGGAAACAGGAGACAAGGAAGGAACACAAGTTCTTTCTCCAATGTCATCTTGCTTTCTATGATTTTTTTTCCCCACTTTCATCCAGTTCATCTCCCTGCCATTGTATCTCCCTCATTTTTTTTCATCTTTCTTCTGCCCTCTGCTCAGGAGGGAGAAAAACTATGAACCTTTAGCAGAAGGATTTATTGCATTAGTCCCACTTTAGAGTTAATTAATTTACCATCCCATACCCAGGAATACCTTTTTTATGTTGGAAAACAGGGAGGGGGAGCAGATAATAGCAGTGAATTGAAACAGGGTTCCGAATCAGTTAGTTAACTGGTAATGCAGTAAACCAGTGATGCACAACCCGCAGGCCGCATGCGGCCCGCAGAGACCCTTTTTGCGGCCCCTTGGATACCTCCGGTCTCTAAAGATCCATATATTAATATGCAGCCTATTTATGCTCATGTGCTCATTCATGCACAAGATTGGGAGTAACACAAAATTGTATATTTTAGACCAAAAACCAAAAATAAATTGAAAAAAGTTCAGTTTTCATTATGATGGTTGGCTGCTGCCAAGCTGCACTGGTTCACAGCAACCTCACTTAGAATAAGCTACCACACATATGAAATGAGTCTATGAATTCTGATATAACTTTACATGAATGTGCTCATTTGATGTATGGCTCTCAAAAGTGCAGAGCCATAGCCTAAACCAATGACGAATGCCTAGAAATTGAAATATGTTCCCAAATTTGTTGGGACAGAGTGTATAATGCCTGTGTGCTGTGTTTCTTTAGTGTGTATATTATGACTAAGCTTTATGTCTATTGTCATTAATATTTTACAGACTTCCATTTACAGTTTTTCTTATAAGCTAATTAAATATGGCTAATTTTTAAATAGGTGAACAAAACAATTGTAATTTTTTACTTCGAAGTCAGTCATATTGTCATCATTCATTAACAGTTTGAAGAAGTCTGTTTCATGTCCACTCTTCTGGCAAGAACAATTCCCAAGTGGATACAGCAATTTCAAGAGGGACAGTTCTTAAGTCTGTAAAAAATATTTATGTTAAATTCATAGCTGGAATTTCACTCAAGTGCAGAATAAACATGATTGTTTATTCATTTATTTAAACATGATTATTTAATGACTATACAGAACAGAAATTTCACAAAAGCACAGAAGAAACTTGACTATTAAAGAACTCTAAATTACAAAGCTGCTTCTTGATGGACAAAAGAGCTGTGCCACAGTGGCCACTCTTTTATGAATGCCCCTCCTTCAGTCCATGGTAAAATATAAGGAAGCATGTTCTTTGAACATATCAAGGAAACTGCATTGGAGTTCTTGAGAGTTTCATCATGAGATTGCTTTTTTGTTTGCAGTATATTTATGTATTCTTAGGTATGTATTCCAAGCATCCACAATGCAGATGGCCATCCTCCTGCAATACAATTGTGCCAACACATTGACAGTCGGTGCTCTTAGTGAGAGCACCCAGGTCCAGCTTCCAACCCTCATCCCAGTCTTGCAGATCCTGCTGAAGTCAAAGCTACTTGTCCTTGCTGAAGGATCTACTGTTCCCCAACTGCAGCCAGGGACTTCCAAGCAGCTGATCTCATCCCTGTCTACTTTGGGTTCTAAGGAGTGGAGTACAGGGAGTGGGGACAGAGATGAATTTGACCTTCAGCCATCCACTGCCCTTTCCCTTTTTCTGGGATACAAAAAGTATATTCTTCCTTTCATCTTGAATGTGTTTTGTTTTTTCAATTGAATCCTGAATACTTGAGGAAATGAGTTTCTGTAGCAAGAAGCTTCGTGTGCATATCAACGTCCCAATAAAGAGGGAGCTGCACCAAGAGCAAGAGACCATGCATCACCATGTTAAGAATGACCGCGAGATACGTATTCAGGCAGCCATTGTCCGCATTCTCAAGACACAAAGCATGATGAAGCACCAACAGCTCATCATAGAAGTTCTTAACCAACTTTCGTCATGGTTCAAGCCAAATGTCAACATCATCCAGGTTGTTTATCTGCTCTTCTCCTGCCTGTCTCATTTTTCATGACTTCTAAAGGACTTCCAGGACTGACATGTAGATACCAAGTATTCTATTGTCCTGGTCCTTTTTTTTGGATTATGTTCCTGAATGAAAACTTGAAATGAATTGAAACTCATGGACACTTGAGCAAGTGCAGCATTGTGAAACCTATGTCATTCATATTTTAAAATATTGCTTAGGAACAAAAAAATCGCTAAAATTTATGGAATTTGTTAAACTGTAATACTTTATTTTGTGAAAATGTCAAACATGTATAAGTTGGGGTTTTGCAGGAAATCAGTATCAATGCTCATTGCCCTTCACCAGGTGATACTCGCCTTGTTTTCAGAATCAGTGTGATTTTAATGTAGGTAATTATTGAACTCTGAAAACTTCAAGGTTGAAGAACATTGGTGTTGCTTAAACAGTTCATGAGATATGAAGTATTTTAGGTTGTAATTATACGGGTTAATTGTTTAATTGGCAACAATTGTGTAATTGTGTTCTTTGCAACACAGTTCAAAACTTTGTGACCTTTCCATTTGGAAACCACAAATCCCAGCTTGGGAAAAAAAGAGGCAGATTCCTTTCTTAGTGAGAGAATGCTTCATGCTGAATTTCATCCAGATATGTGATGAGCCCCCAAACTTTTTCCAGAATTGGGACGCATGGAATAGCCCTCCTATATTGGGTGACTGAAACTGAAACTTTCCTAGCTGCATCACTGCCAGCAACACCATATAAGATATTGACTGGAAATTTACAGGATGTTGCATCATTCCTCATCAAAATGGCTGTGAATTATGCCTGACTATCGCAAAAAAAAATTGCAAAAGTCACTGTAGTAGTGGTCTATTCTACCAACCTATTGTATAAAATCTAGGCCCTACTTTCTCTGAAACGAGCTCCCCAAAAGCCCTGTCTTCAGAAATCTTCAGACTCCTCTATTTAAAGAACTATCAGTTCACAGCACATATCAGTATGCACAGTATCAACATGAAAATAATTTCAATGTGAAATTTATCATCTTGAGAAGTGAAATCTGAGTATGTAATTGTTATTCATGTGAAAGGGATTGTGAATTTTCTTTTTAATTCCAAAGTTTGCCATATTTCCTCATTTGTGACTGCAAAATTATCCCTGTAAGAAAACTCAGGAACACCCACCCCCAAGTTTGAGTAATTGTTAACTTGTGTAAGACCTACAAATGAAACTGATTACAACTTGTTCTGCTGAATTGCAGTAGTTTTTTTTACTCAAAAATGTGAAAATTGGCTTCTTTCTTTAGTGACAATGTACTATTTGTCCATTTGGGGACATCTCACAAAAATTCAAGTAATACTTTTTTTAAAGAACACTAAATGTGTACTTATAGTTACTATTGGTTTCCAATTGATCCCATGAGTGGGTGTTTTCACAATAATATTGAGGTATTGAGGTAGTTGAGAATTTTCAGTTTTTTTGCATCTGTGTGAGATGTCACAGTGATTGTGTCAGTGCACAAACCTTGGATGCTTGCACCATGCAAGAAAGAATGAACTTGCTCTCCCCCAGCAAACTAAGCTGACAGAGGCAGATGGTATGGGGGGGGTAGAATATCTGACCATTGGAAAAGCTCTAAATTGCTACACCCCTATAGGAAATCTAATGAGAAACTATCCATTCCCTAGCATTTTGCTCCCCTTATAAATTCCTTCTTTACTTCATCCATATCCCCCTGAGCTTCAATCAAGATTTCCCACCAATGTTTGCAACATGTATGAGAACTCTTGCAAATTTCCCAATTTTACCTTTCTCAGAGATCACATCCTTTCTTCTGCTCTCAACAAATGACATGTCAACAATGGCTTCAGTAACTGATTTTTGACATGAGTCCTGAAGCTTGTGATGGTTTCATATTCCAGGTTAAATAATCCAAGCCTCATCCCATGTTTTTTATGTTTGGTCGTCCTTGATAATGAGAAGGCTTTTGAAACAAATATGCTTTTGCAGGTTATAGAGGCCTTGGCATGACTTTTGGTAGAAGAAATTTGTGTCAATGTATTATTTCCAAAGTTGAATGGAGGTGAAAAACTTTTAATTTTGAGGAAGGTTAGTGGAAACCAACAAAATTCAAACTATTTTCCTGTCTGATTANCCTGAGCTTCAATCAAGATTTCCCACCAATGTTTGCAACATGTATGAGAACTCTTGCAAATTTCCCAATTTTACCTTTCTCAGAGATCACATCCTTTCTTCTGCTCTCAACAAATGACATGTCAACAATGGCTTCAGTAACTGATTTTTGACATGAGTCCTGAAGCTTGTGATGGTTTCATATTCCAGGTTAAATAATCCAAGCCTCATCCCATGTTTTTTATGTTTGGTCGTCCTTGATAATGAGAAGGCTTTTGAAACAAATATGCTTTTGCAGGTTATAGAGGCCTTGGCATGACTTTTGGTAGAAGAAATTTGTGTCAATGTATTATTTCCAAAGTTGAATGGAGGTGAAAAACTTTTAATTTTGAGGAAGGTTAGTGGAAACCAACAAAATTCAAACTATTTTCCTGTCTGATTATCATCTCCTGCATATCTTAGAGCCCATAATTGGCCAACCCGTGGGGTGATCACATTGTTTCACCCCTCTCTGAAACTTCCTGATTTCAAGGGTCATGTCATGGTAGGAATTAATCTTCAGTGACGAAAATTGGGTGTAAAGGTCCCCCCAAAATGTGACATGCAGTAATCATGGATGTCACGACTTGACTCAAGCAACCCCTCTCTGAGTCAAATGGAGTCCAAGACTCAAACATTGAATTCCTCCCTCTCACCCTGTAATCTGTAGAGCCAGTGGCAGCAGCCCTTGTGATTAATGTCTACCAGGTCAATTCACATGTTCTATAACCAGCCGTTGCATAGACAGGTTTAACTAGGGTTCCATTATAAATAGTTCTTGAGTTTCTGGTTTATTAAAATTGGAGGTTAGTTGGTGACACAAAATGTTAACCATCAGCTTGTACCATTTGACCTACTGGCCTGATGAGTCCAAAATGTGGTATTTTGGGGTTTTGTGGCTAGGGAACCCTGTATTTAATACAAATGGGAGGGTTGGACGTGACTTTGCCACTTTTTGGGCAACATTTCATGGAATGACCAATGTAGACTAGCATACGCAGCAATACCACAGCAGCATTATGTCTCTAAATTATTTTAATTGTCATATTTTGCCATCACCTGCTAGCAGAAACAATAGACTGGGGATATCTGTAAATGATGGTAATTATAGCCATTAAAGCCTTGAGATCTGTCTTGTTTTCCATTGGAAAAGAAGCTGTGAAGTCCACTGCTGATTCATTCTGAGCCACTTGCATACATGCATAAGCAAGTCAAACGTACTGTTCAACTCTTGTGTCAACCTGTGAATTTGCAATGTTGAACTGAACATGCGTTCAGGTCTATGTCTTATGAAATTATCAGTCCGAACTAGCAGGATATTTTCCTACCATTAAAAAGGAATTACCAATGGTGCCAGTCCCACCAAAATCAATCTAGGTGATGAAAAAAAAAAACAAAAAAAAAAAAAAAAAGGGGGGGGGGGGGGAAGGGCCATTGGAAACTTAAGACAGGGAGAATTTCCCCTCAAATGGGGGAAAAATAATAGAAGAATTATGGATTCAGAAGTTCAAAACTGCCTACATTGGAAGGAAGGAAGGGACAGAGTGGAACTGGAAGTTAGGAAATATTTGAGCAAGTATACCTCCAAGAAATATTACATTTGCAGCAGTGGATTTTATTCCAATATTCTAACAGATCTCCATGGTGCCAGTCCCACCCAGACCAATCTAAGCAATGGGGAAATGAATCCCACTCCTGAACCAAACCTGACAGAGATTGGCTGAACTATGGGGAATTAGCCTGCAGAAAAGGGGCAAGGCTGAAGAAAGCTAAAACCATTAACATATTCCTGAAGAAACTCCTACACTAAGTTGGGTTTGAACCCCTGATTCAGTAGAACAATTTTCATGAAAGTACCCTACAACTGAAACACGATTGTTTCGTATCCAACATCTTAGAGCACGCAGGTTTCATGCTCATACTTACTCACATGATAAAAAACTTGTAGAAAAACTTGCACAATGGCACAAACAAAACTTGTAGAAAAAAAAACTTGCACAATGGCATATTTCATAAAACAGCAACTATTGGGAGATGCACTCAATCACCAGAGAGCAAGTCTAAGAAGTAGCTGATACCTTTCATCTTCATATTCCTGCATTCCATATAAAATAAAATTTGTTTATTTGCCCTTTTTTCAGACCTTTAATGCTCAATTAGATAGAGTATTTTTAACAACTGATAACTCATGAAATTATTAAAAGTGTATCAGTGTTTTAAATGAGAATTTCAGAATGCATAATTTTTGACAGTTCATATACACTGTCGATATAAAAAAAATGTCTACACTCACAAACTCTTGGTCCAATTTTTCTAAATTGGTTGAGCAACAGTGCAAGAAGCATAAAGCAAATGCTTGATGCATTAAAATGCTATATTGTCTACCCACCTTCTGTCTCTCTTTTTTTCTATGCACTCTTATTTCTCTTGCTTTTAACCTGGGTGTCAGAGGTGGAAGGGAAAGGAATTGTTAATTGGAAAGGAACGTTGAACAGAACTTTGTATCTTTCACTCACAAATTACGAGATGTGGAAAGCATGTCTTGTGTCACTCCCTGTTGGTGTCACCTGAGCAGTGTTATTTGCACATGTAGTTTTAATTTTGTAAGCCTGAAAATGAGCACTTCTTGAATAGCATAATTTGATTGCTTCCATTGACTCACCAAATCCCAAATGAGGAAAATGCCTGGAAGTGGTGGGAAAAGGTGAAGCACCAATTGCCCAAGTTGTATGGTGAACTTAAAATTGAACATTGAGATAGAGGAGATTGTAATACAAATATGCTGGATGTTTGCACTGTATCTGATGTTGCACTGATGTTGCACTGGAACTGTATCAATTATGTTATGAAATGTTATAATAGGATGGAACTTTATCAAATCCAGCATTAGAACTCTATGGAACTGCACTTCATTTCAGTGATAACATTACATCAGAACTTACTTTTTCCCTCCAGTTCCAACATTGACATATGTTATTCTCATTCCTACATTTTTAATGTTCAATCCTATTTACGTGCATTGAAAAAAGATACCTGTGATTTTTTGCAGCATTGCATTGAGATCCTAATAGAAAAGGAGTATGTGGCCCGCGTGGATGGAGAGAAAGACACATACATCTATGTGTCTTAAACCCTGAGCATCATGGATCGATTTTTTAACAAGCTGTGATGGCCTCTTGTATGAGCTTTACTTGTGATGTGAACAGTGCAATGTTGTTTGCAAAATAAAATTTGATTTATTTAATCAAAAATAAAGACCTGGACCTTATTTAATCAAGAATAATGATGTTCCCTTTGAGATTGGGATCTTGCTTGCATTTGTTCTTTGTAACTCATTTGAAAGAAGAGAAATACAAGGCTGTAATAGGTCATCTCATGTGGGAAACCCACAGGGAAACCTGTGGGTTCTCTAAGTCCAGTAATATGTCACTGTTGACAGGATGATGCCAAAATGTGGAGCCCTTTCAGAATCCATTGTGGCCTTCTCAATGAAGTCAAGTGAGACACCAATTTCTGGCGGTCTTGGTGGGGTGGGAGGGAGAAGGGGTTGCTCCCTCTCCATGAAGGAGCCCAGTGCTCCTTCATGGGGAGGGAGCTGTCCCCATTGGCCCTCTGTTGATTCACCAGTGAGTTAAGGCTGCTTTCATTGTTTCATGTCAGGAATGGGAGCTTTGTGGTGGTTCTGGGTGTGGCAAAAGAAATGCAAGATTTCTGTTTCTGTTCAACTTTTGAATCTGTTACAGGAATGCCTCAATGGTCATGCTATTCCCCTTTGAGTTTCATCAACTGCTAAAGTTTGAGAATGTGAAATGCATATTGGCATTCATTTGGAAGATGCCATATTCCATCAATGAACATCATGGATTATTCCATTCATAATTCACTCCATATATTATGAGTATCAACATGTACAGCAAGAATCTCCAGGCATTAACGTATCATCATTTGCCTCATCCCATATATACACAGAACAATTATGCCAACAGATTGTGTGTCTTGCCTCTGTACACCAGGCAGAAGAGAGGAAAAGATGTTAAAATTCAGGGCAGGCTTCTCTTTCCTTTTTTTATCTTTGAATGCGTTGACCTTTTTCAAATGTTATGGAAATGAAGAAATAAAGAATTTTTTTATTTTTGGAGGTATGGTATGCATAATTTTTTCTCTCAACAAAATTTCTGCAAAAATTTGAGCGTACCATTTCAGGAAGTTTTTGTGCAGATCAAATTTTGTGACATTCGAGATCGGCAACAGTAGATGTGCTCCACTCTCTGGATATTCCGTGAAAATTCCATCATTTACATATATCCTTTCTATTGAATTTTCAATCATTTGTGTTTATCTAAATTTCTCAATGCTTAGGTTTCTATCAAGTTCAATTGGAAGTCTCACTTGTGAGTGGAGTATCTTATTATTGGCCGATTGAAGGGGCCCTATAATTCGTTTAGAAAAGAGATACAAGGCAGTACAGTGAGGCATGGATGTCTGTGAGTACCCTCAATCCAGTAGAAAGACGGTATTTGAATGTCCAATTTCAAAAGTTGGCATTTTTCCAAGCTTTGGGTCCAAAATGGCATCCATTTAATATTTGCGATCATGTGGTATGGACATCGCTAAAAAAAAAAATAATAATAGTAAATAAATAAAGTTTCATGTTCATGATTGTCTTGCACGAGTGAGTTGTGGGGAGGGCTTGAAATCAGGATTTTGTTCACTTTTGGAGGGTCATTCATGAAGAATGAACAGGAATGGTATAGGGACCGTATTTCTCCAGCATCATGTTGCTGGGAGCCCATTTTCTGAATGGAAATTAGAACCATCAGTACTGAATTTCAGCCAGCAGCAGGTGTGGATGGTGCCGAACTCAATTATTGGACTCGCTGTCCTCGAGG